GCGGTGCTCATTTTGAGATGCCTCGCGCAACCCTCTCGTCACGTTGGGCCTGTCAGATCGCTGTCATTGTGGCGCGGTGCTCATCTTCATTGTCAAGGAGATAGTGTGCAGAGATCTTGACACGGAGGTCTCTTCTAGAGAGCTTGCGCAGAGATCTTGTTTAGAGAGCTCTTATAGAGATCTTGTGATTTTGTGCAGAGATCTTGCCAAGAGATCTCTTACAGAGATCTTGCCAAAAGAGCTCTTATAGACAGCTTGTACAGAGATCTCTTCAAGAGTCTCGCCAAGAAATAGCTTTTAGAGTTGTACACAGATCTTGCCAGTCCACCGCTTCTGGAGATCTTGTGCAGACACATGGCATAGAGATCTGTTGCAGAGATCTTGCCAAGAGGTCTCTCACATAAATCTTGCCAAGAGAGCTTTTATACAGAGCTTGTAGAAGATCTCATACAGAGATCTTGCCAAGAGATCTCTTATCGAGATCTTGTCCAGAGGTCTTGCAAAGAGACCTCTTCTAGAGCTCTGCTGGCAAGATCTTGCCAAGCGGTCTCTTACAAAGATCTTGCCAACAGAGCTCTTATAGAGATCTTGTACAGACATCTTGCCAGGAGACCTCTTATAGAGATCTTGTACAGAGACCTGGTGCAGAGAGCAGAGGTATTGCTCGGGGTTTTTTACATAGCTTGAACAGAGATCTTATTTTGAGATCCTTAATTACAAAGATTTTTTGTGGAGATCTCCTATAGACACCTTTGACAGATAGCTTACACAGGGATCTTGCACAGCAGTTTCTACAGAGAACCTCTCAAGGAGATCTTGCGCTCGATCTTCTACAGAGACTTTCACAAAGGGACCTTGCAGAATCTTACCTGGTACCCCTTCTTCCAGATACCACCTTGACTGAACACCATGCTTTCACTGCTAGGGTCGCTCTTGTCCTGCTAGCTTGCATTCACTTGGCCCTTTCCACCTTTCCCTTTAAAGTCCTCACCCTACACTGTTTGGGGTCTCTTGCCGGGATTTTTTTTTCCTGTATCTATCTTGAATGTAATGTAGTGTAGTGTAGGGTACAGTAGTGTAATGTAATGCAATGTAATGTAATGTAACGTAACGTAACGTAACGGATGTATGTATGTATATACATTCACACATGTGAAACAATGACGTTTTTTTCGTTCAATCATGGTGTTTGGTTGGTTTGATAGTTTTGAACTTAAACAGATGGGGGTAGACTTATAGACATACGTACACAAATGGGGATGTATGGGAACCTAACCACCAAACATTGAATGAAAACCGTGTTGTTTTTTCTCCTTTCGCTCTTTCGTGTTCCTATTGTTTCTCTTGCCTCTGATTGCTCTTATTGTTCTTATGGTTCTTGTTTTGTTCATGGTTCTTATTGTTCATATAGTGTTCTTTCTTCTGTTTCATTTTATATATTGTTCATATATTGTTCTTCTTGTTTTGTTCATGGTTCTTATTGTTCATAAATATATTGTTCATATATTGTTCATATATTGTTCATATATTGTTCATATATTGTTCATATGGTTGTTGTTGGTCTCGGCAAAGCCAGGAGGTCTGCCCAAAGTGCGGCACCCTCTACTTGGCCGATGCCAAGTATTGCCGCGCCTGTGGCCACAAGCGCGGTGAAGCCGGTGAAGCCCAGGCGATGCCACCGTTCCGCTGGAACCCTACTTGTTTGGAAAATGATGTAAAACCTTAGGATTACATCATTTTGGATTACATTATTTTTTGGGATTACATCAATTATTCCACTGGGCCACCCATCAATTTGGGATGACATTGATTTCATCATATTACATCCATGTTTTGAAGGATGATTTACCTTGAGGTTCCTTTTATGTCACCATGAATTTAAACGAATTGTTCACTGACTTCAATTAGTAAAAAATGTAATCCCACAATGCCTTCATTTCAAGATGATGAACATTGTCAACCCCGGATTAGTAAGCACTGGTTAATTCAAAATCGATGGTTCCCCCGAAAATCCTTAGATCATCTGCGCCAGGCGCCCCCGAAGCCAGCGGTGGAATCAACTGCAAAGCCACAGGCAATGCTGGGGAAATGGGGCGGTCACAACAACTATCAACAGAGATTTCCAAACTTGAGCAGCCAGCAATCACATGTACCTAGAAGTGCTTCAACATGGACTGTTTTTGCCTTTGGCAAATTGACATAGATATGGAACATCACCAGTTTTGATACGTAAATCACCTATCAATGGGACATGTTCCATAGCTGTATTGAATTACCAGCAGGTAACGCTTCGCGCAGACCCCCGTGTCGCTCACAACATCTTTGAGCCTTGCAGGATTCATCAAGATTCGAGGGTTTAAGATTTAGGGTTAAAGTGTTATTTTCAGGCTTGGGGTTTCCCCTTTGGTTTTGTCCATTGTTTTTGGGGTTTAGGGTTTGAGGTTTTTGCTTTGAGGGTTTGAGGTTTGAAGTCTCTTGGGTTTAGGATAATTTGTGCGGTGACGCACTGAGCTTTTCCGGAATGCGAGGCCAACTACCTGGCATCACTACAATCCTCTGGTGAGGTATCATTTTCCCGGCCTAAATTGGCGGGCAAACCCCATGTTCAGCATCGCCTAGATTGGATATCATTGGATTTAAATATGTATATATATATATACATAATATATATATATATGTTATTGTATGTATGTATGTATGTATGTATGTATGTAAGTAATATATATATATATTATTACTATTATTATTAGTATTATTAGTATTATTCATATTATTAATATTATTATTAGTGTTGTTGTTATTATTATGATTGTTGTTATTATTATTGTTGTTTTTTATTGTTAGTGTTATGATTATGATTATTAGTATTGCTGTTATTATTATCATTGTTGTTGTTATTATTATTTGTTTATTAGTATTAGTATTTATATATATATATACATATATATATATCCCATGATATATCTCATTGTACAATCCCATGGTATATGTGTGTAAATATAGTATCTGTATATAAATATATATATATTATACATACTGAATATATCGCATGAGGCGCAGGTCAACAGGTCCAACCCGAGGTGACCACCGACGAGAGCGATGAGAGTTATGCGGAGGAATTTGAGGACGGGAACGTTTCGGAATGTTTCGGAGAGATGAACTGAAGCCACAGAGGTATACATGAAACATTTTTTTGTTGATGTAGAAATGTAGATGTAGATGATGTGTTTTTTTGCCAAGACTAAACCATAATGATGGTTGAAACTATCATTGAAATCATTCAATGACCTGTTCTTTCTATTCGCGTCTATAGATTCAAGATCTCAAGGAATTTTACTGCCGGACCACGATGTTGGCTGATTCACCAACATGTGACCAAAAGAGCAGCCTGAATTGTCATGATCCGTTTATCTACAAAACCAAGTCATGATTTTGAGCAAGATGGTGGTAGTTATTATGCAAAAGCATCACTTGGTGATGCGGTCCATAAATGGAGGATGGGTACCTGGAGAACATGATGACAAACCATTTGGTCTAAGGCACACCCTCAACACCATATTTGGACAAAGCCATTTAACAAACATCATGTGAGAAACCTTAGATATGTTGACCCTAGGTCTGCTAGGTTTGATCATAGCCACAACGGGTTACCCATGGTTACCCGGGTTTCAAGCGATGATGGAATGGGCTACCATATTTTAAGCGAGATATACCCTCCAATAAACCAACGAAAACTTGGAAAATTCCACCATGTGAAGATCATGTCCAAAGGGAACCAACCACGGATTTCCGTTCTTTTTTTGGTATGTCCAGTGGGGGGTATTGTAAGTGTGGATTTTGTCAATCCTTTTCCAAATACTGCCGGCGATGCCACTATTAAAACTATTACGTACTATTAAGGAAAGGGAAAGGATCTAATAGATCGCATCTCTGCTGCAGGTTGATGCAAGTGTGTCTCTGAGAGGCTCTCCAAATAAAATCAATGAATAATTCAATAAACATATTGAAATAAAATATGTTAATTTATATATTTATATTTTTATATATAAATTTATTGCTTATATGAATAAAAAATGGAAAATAAGAAAAATAACTACAATTTAAAATTAATATTTTCTTAATTTATTTCTTTTAATATTAATTAGAATTAAATAAATATAATAGTGAAATGAATATATAATAATAATATGTTGTTTAATTTGAAGGGATTTAATAATTAAATTAAACGAATATTGATATTGTTGATATTGATATATAGGTTTATTTTTAATTTAATTTTTATTATATATATATTTAATTATAAAAAAAATATGAATAATTAGATATTATAGAATTTGTATTGTAATATATTTAAAGATTATATTTTATATATTATGT